ACATATAAAAACTGCATAGTGTGTTGCAATGCAGGGAGGGATGCAATATCATGGATTTAATTTATAGAGATTGCAATAAGAGTCCAAGCAATAGCAGGTTTTTATTCATGTTTTGTCTCCATCTTGTGGCGGAGATGTGCAACAAGAGTTATGGATAGTGAAATCTTTGATGAGAAAGGCACATATTTTGCCTAATAAATGATATAAGACAGGCAGCGGGTCTTAGTGGGAAACTCCTGAGTGAATTGGCAGCTCTATGAAAACAGAGTTAAATGAACTGTCATTTCGACACCAGACAGGGAATCCCTGTTTAATGTGTCCAATTACTCAGGAGCTTGAGAGGTTTTCCGTGGTGACTCATTCAGGTCGGGGTGGGGGGATAGAGGGGGTATTCCAGAGCATGTTTCATTAATATGGAGGGAGTGGAGTTGAATGACGTAAGGCACCGAATGCGTCAGTAGCTTTCCTTTTTTTCTTTAACTACAATCTTCTTGATTGAAAGGTTAGGAAACGTCACAATCTGCAATGTCTCTGTCATGGAACATGCAAGGCAAAAAAGGTGTGAGGATTGAAATGCAGGAGAATGGTAATTTATTACAAATTAAACCAACAAATAAAAAACCCACAAGGGGGAAGAACAAAAGAAGTAAAAATAAAACAATAACAGAACCTTTAAGTGCTGCTGAGTATCACGGGGAACAGGAAACATTTGACAATGATCCAAAAAAGACTGCAAACAAGAGGAAACTTAAGAAGGGGACCAATCAAGAGGGGACAGGTGGAAGAACTCAACAATAATCAGGTAATGAGTGGGAGGGATCAGACAACGACAAGAGCAAAAGGCCCAAAACAACAAAACACCCATGTGCAAGACAGGACAGGCATGTGATATTACAACACTATCTCACGACCAATTCGTACGATTTCGACGCATGATTAAAAAGTGGCTAATTCGTACTAATTCGTACGACCTCACTCGTACTAATTCGTACGATTTGTCTAAACCCACGTGATGGTTAGGGGCGGGGTAAGGGGTAGGTCATTCGTACGAATTCATACGAATTGGCCAATTCGTAAAATATGTACGATTTAGCAAAATCGTATTAATTCGTACGAGTGAGGTCGTATGAATTGTTACGAATTAGCCACTTTTGAATCATTCGTCGGATTCGTACGACTTGGTCGTGAGATCGGGTTGGATATTACCCCCTCCCTATGGAGCAGCTACCAGACGCTTCATAAGACCAGGGCAGGACAGGAGGGAAAGACCAGGGCAGGATGGGAGGGACAGACCATTTAGTCTTGGGAGGCCAGGGTGAAACAGACTGTCCTTCGGGCGGCCAGAGCGAAATAGACGGCCCATCGGGTGACCAGGGCGAAGCAGATAGTCCATCGGGCGGCCAGGGTGGTGAAGACCCCTCGGGCAGTGATTCTGGAACAGACACTGGCACTGGCTCCAGCTATGGAGCAGACACTGGCAACAGCTCAGGAACAGGCTCTGGCTCAGGAACAGCCACCCGAACAGCAACGGCCACTAGGACAGACACAAACACAGGAAAAGACACTGCCTCCGGCTCTGGAACAGGCACTGGCTCTGGCTCAAGAACAGGCTCTCGCTCCGGAACAGCCACCCGAACAGTAACAGCCACTAGGACAGACACAAACACAGGAACAGACACTGGCTCCGGCTCTGGAACAGGCACTGGCTCCGGCTTTGGCACTGGAACAGGCACTGGCTCAGGAACAGGCACTGGCTCTGGTACAGGCTCCGGCTCAGGAACAGCCACTTGGACAGACACAAACACAGAAACACATGCTAACTCCAATTCAGGAACAGACACAGGCACTGGCTCTGGAACAGGCACTGGCTCTGGCTCTGGAACAGGCACTGGCTCTGGAACAGACACAGGCACTGGCTCTGGAACAGGCACTGGCTCTGGAACAGGCACTGGCTCTGGCTCTGGAACAGTCACTGGCTCTGGAACAGTCACTGGCTCTGGAACAGGCACTGGCTCTGGCTCTGGAACAGGCACTGGCTCTGGCTCTGGAACAGTCACTGGCTCTGGAACAGGCACTGGCTCTGGCTCTGGAACAGTCACTGGCTCTGGAACAGTCACTGGCTCTGCTACAGGCTCCGGCTCAGGAACAGCCACTTCGACAGACACAAACACAGAAACACATGCTCCACACACTCCAATTCAGGAACAGACACTGGCTCCGGCTCTGAAACAGGCACTGGCTCTGACTCTGACTCTGGAACAGGCACTGTCCTTGGCTCCGGCTCAGGAACAGGCTCAGGAATAGACTCCGGCCCTGGAATGGCAGACACTGGCTCCGGCTCGGGAACGACAGACACTGGCTCCTGCTCTGAAATACGTGACGTGAACAGTCTCTGACTTGGCAGACGTGACGTGAACAGTCTCTGACTGGGCAGACGTGACCATTCTCTGACTTGGCAGACGTGACGTGAACAGTCTCTGACTGGGCAGACGTGACCATTCTCTGACTGAGTAGACGTAACGTGAACAGTCTCTGACTGGGCGGGCAGACGTGACGTGAACATTCTCTGACTGAGTAGATGTGATGTGAACAGTCTCTGGCTGGGCAGACGGGATGTGAACAGTCTCTGGCTGGGCAGACGGAACATGAACAGTCTCTGACTTGGCCCCTCTTCTCCGCTGAGTCCTCATTTGGTCGGATCGTTATGTCACGGAACGTGCAAGGCAAAAAAAGGTGTGAGGACTCAAATGCAGGAGAATAGAAGTTTATTACAAAAATAAACAAACACAAAGCGAAAATGCACAAGGGGGAAAACACAAGAAGTAAAAATAAAACAATAACAGAACTTAAAAGTGCTGAGTATCAGGGGAAACAGGAAACATTTGTCAACGATCCGACAAAGACTGCAAATAAGAGGAGACTTAAGAAGCCGACTAATCAAGAGGGGACAGGTGGAAGAACTCAACAATAATCAAGTAACGAGAGGGAGGGATCAGACAATGACAAGAGCAAATGGACCAAAATAACAAAACACCCATGTGCAGCACAAGACAGGACAGGCATGTGACAGTCTCATACCTTCACTTAAAAAAAAAGTAGACTATAGCTATATTTTCATAAAGTTCAAGTAGCCTGTATTTTTTACTATACATTATATAGTAACTATATTAATATCAATAGCCGCGTTTCCACTGCCGGGCCAGGGCCGAGCTGTGCTAGTGTGTGCCAGGGCCAGTCGCGTTTCCACTGTCACTTCCGGGGCTTCATCGGGGCTTACTCGGGGCCAACGGCCAGGATTTCTGGTCCGTCGAATACCTTGGGCCAGAGGGGGCCAGCTCGGGCTAGAGGCGTGCTCAAGGTAAAAGGCGGAGTTTATCGGTGTTATGGAACGTTATGATCTGAAGCAAGATACACATTTCACTTTTTTATATCGCGCAAAAAAATTGCTGCTCGAAATGGAGAATTGCCTGTACTGGTCTGTCGAATATACAACAGCTCTTCTGAGCATTTGAGCAGAAGAAAGGGTATGACGTCAATTTGACGGCATGTGAAGAAATGAGGATGTTACAAAATACATCGATGCCGAACTTTATAAGCTAAACATTCAAGTTCAAAAGTTGCTTCAAGTTCTAAACATCGAAGCAAGGCTTCAAGTTCAGGAAAAAATAAAAAAAAGTTGCGGGCGCAGTATTGTACAAGGCGATTAAAATGCACAATGGACAAAGCAGAGTTCAGAGGCTCGGCTCGGCTCGCTGTTAGCTCTGGCCTAGCCCTAGCCCGGCAGTGGAAATGCGGCTATTGTACTGGTATACTTTTACTTACACTTCTTGGGACTAAATTGGGCCACTTTTACAGTATAAAAATATCGTTTTAAGTATACTTGTATTTTAGTGTAAAAGTAGTTTAACAACTAGTTCACAACTAAGTTTTTGTATTTTACTGTGTCTATACTACAAGTGAACTATACTACAAGAGCCTAGTTATAGACTACTGATAGTTTACTCGTCAAATACTTGTAGCACATGATGGAGAGACTCAAGAAGAAGTGACAACATGTAGAAGCAGGACGTTTCTGAATGGTTAGTTGATGAATTTATGTAGCTGATGTGGAGTTAGCTATCTTCAAGTCATTGATTAGCATATTCTGTCATGATAATCTATAAATCCCTCATGTGGGAACTGTTGTAAGACGCCTACAGAGTGACATGCTATTCATTTGTTGTAGTCCTTAAAAAGCCATTTCTGTTAAAGAAAATATCTCCCATTGCTTTGAACTTTGAGCATTGTAACTTTGCAGATGTTGTTTATGCTCAAACAGCAACATTACGCACTAACTAAAGTTAAAAAAGTGAAATTATAACCACCCCTTTAAAAAAAAACATAGAAAATTGAAATTTTTTTTTGTCAAAGATTACTTCCGGACGGGATACAGAACTATGATTCAAACACAGAGGGAGTAAATCGAGTCCATCAACGCCCCCAAACCTTCACAGTCGTTAAACTTTCCCGAGTCCACATTTCATCCAGTAACTTTAGGCTTTTTTGATATACTGCTTGTGTTATTTTACATTGCATAAGCAAACTTCTGTTACTTCATAAGCTAAAGCATATCTTTTCGGATTAAATTAATCTCGTCAACCCCATCTCCTTACAACATGTCTTCATTTTGGTGTTACACCCATTTTTATGATCCAATCAATTATGATTGGATGTTTGTAACGTGTTGCTCAATCATGTCGTTAGCAACACCAAAGTCAGGGTTTGTTGCAGGGAGTGCATGTAAAATGTTTGCTAAATGCTATGTAGATTATTTTTAATAGCGTTTGCCAAATGCATGAATGTAACCGTAAATGAAGTTCCACTCTTCCGTTTCCCTAGTAAACATTAACATTTAGAATATGTCCTTTACAGTGGTCCGAAAGAATGAACATGATGACATGGTGTGATGTGTTAATGTCTAAAAGAAGATTTGCAGTAGAAATAACAAATAAATCCAAAGCTTTCATGCTTAAGGTTTATTGTTAGTTTATAAGAGTAAAACATAGTCCATGGCAGATGAAATCATAAGTATATTGTTATCAATACAGTTTGTTAATTGAATTACACAACCAAAACTAGTCATATTTAACAATTTCAGAGAATCTTTTACATTTTCTTTCCTTTATTAGATTTCACAGCGAGCGCTCAATTTCTCACACTCTCAGATTTGCGCGTACACACGATTGATTGTCGGTATTTGGCTCCTGAGATTTGGCATAAAATGCTTTAATTCCTCAATATCATTAAGTTTACCACATGACGGTGAACAGTACCCATTAAAAATCTCCCTATTGTTAACAATCCAGTCTTGGCAGTCATAGTTATGATTGATTTGTAAAGAACATTAGTTTGTGTTTTGATCATATTAGTGAAGAAAGCAAAGCAACACACCAAAGTGGTACTGGGAACCCTTTCCAATCCTTCCTTCCTTTCTCTCTTTCTCCTCTATCTTTTCTCTCTCTCTTGTTCCCCCGTGGCAATCAGCAGTCCGTTATTGCACGATGATTTCCAGCTGATTGATGACCTGTCTCAGTGCAGCGCAGTCCAGCAAGCCAATCAGCACCTTCCTCCCAGGAGACTGAGGGGTGATCGTTTCAGTGTACTGCACTGAGCCGCCAGGTTGAATCTGACTGCAAGTGGAAATGGATAAAGTGAGTATATGCATGCAGAAACAAGAACGTGCTGGGTTTTCACGTTTTATGGGGACTTTCCATTGACATAAGGAACTTTCTGCATTTTTACATTCTCAAAAAAATCACAAAAAAATGGCTTAACATTTAGAGAGTCAGACTGATATCCCAAAAAATAATAACCCAAAATTACTGATTTGAGGTAAACAAAACAATTTGCTCCCAAAGCGCTCGGGTACCCCTTTTCCACCAAAAAAGAACTGGTTCAGAACTGGTGCTGGTTCAAAGTTGGTTCGGAGTTGGTTCAACTTGCGATCCTTTTCAGAACCTGTTTGTTTTTCCACTGACTAGAGCGCCCAGGGAACGACGTTGTTACGTCACTGTGTACGTCACATACGAATGTCGTATTTCGCCCCCTAGTGTCAGTCGCACGGAACTTTGAAACTGGTCGTGAAGCAACCGTTACCCTCGGATATTCACAATGGTAAAATTAATGATATTAATAAATGTAATGCATGCATAAATAAATCTACACAAAACAAATGACCCTCAATACTTCTCAAATAAAAACATAGTAGATTTTAAAGAGCTAATTAATATAAATATTGATTTAATAATTATTAAAAAAAAATTCTGCTATAGCTAATTATAACCAATATCTTACAGAAAGAGCGTTTACAGAAAAACATTAAAGAGTTAAAATATTTGTAGTTCTAGTCTCGCGCTCATAGTTTTTATTAGAATACATCACATCCGGTTGCCCAGTAGCATACGGTCTAGCCCCAGAAGTTAAGATATTTCAACGGATCCAAAGCTCAAATCGGATCCGAATTTTCAGCATACGCATATGATCGGAACTCCCCGCAGCTCCCGTACGACTCTCCATTGGAAATGAATGACTTCTGGTACGACGGCGGTCGTTTGTCGTGTGCAGTGGAAAGGCGGCTTTAAACTTGCATTGGGCGCAAGAGTCATTTATCCTATAAAAAAACAACAGCATCCAAGACCCGCCCACAAACATCATTGTGCTTTGTGCTTGATACTTGTGTTTCAGATTGCTAAAATAGGGCCCTTTGTTTCAGAAACATAAGGTCAGAGCAAATACTAATGGAACAAAGAATCTCAGACACCCTTAAATCTCCAAGCAGACAGAGGGGTCTATATGTAGTCCTTTTAAAGAGGTGATGAACTGAGAAATCAAATTTTCCTTGAGCTTTTGACATCTAAGAGGTCATCATATTATAAGAATATCCTGTAAGTTTCAGAACTGAAAAAGTCCTTGTTAGTCCAATAAAATCTTTTATTGACACCAGCCTCTGAAAACGTCTGGTTTTTAAAAGTCGGAAACTATGACGTGGAAGGGGTTAAAACCCCACCCCCGCAGAAGAAGATCAACGCCTACTTCAACACGGCCGGTTTAGCCCCGCCCACCGATTCGCGCATTACTCGCATAGCTAAGTAGCCTAACATACGCCTACCTCGTGATGACAAACCGGATCATTCTAATATTGTGCAGTGCCTGGTTGTGGAAGAAGACAGTCGCTGCATAAGCTTCCTCTGGATAGGACTTGGATAAACTTTATTTTTAATGACGTTCCAGCAGATGAGGTAAAACATCGTCGTCTGTTCGCTTCATTTCACTGAGGATTGTTTTGTAAACAAGACTGGATTTGCAGACCGATTAAGAGTAAAGAACGGTGCTGTGCCGTATTGGATCTGACAGGAATTGTGCAACAAACGGACTCTTGGTTGAACATGTATGGGCGAATCCGGTTGCCATTTGACAACATTGGACGTTTTCCCCCACGTACACCGACGGGTGAGTTAAACTCATTATAATATGCAAAACTGTTATCCACTCACAGCAGTGGCCGTTTATTTCGAAGTCTTCAGTGTGACACGCCCATAAAAACCGACCGTTTTTCAGGAAGGCTCACAACTTGAGTACAAAATAGATTATTACTTATTCATTTTGATGTTTTTGAATGCAAAAACCAAGCGAACATCTTAAGTTGACCTCAGACAACAATATAATAACATTTTAAAAGCCAGTTCATGACCCCTTTAAAGACCACACACATTAACGCTCATCTCTCTGTAGTTCTGGATAGAGATCTGGCATTGTATTTTAATGTTTAGTCGTCTAATAACTTGCTAGTAATATCTGAATAATGGAAACATAAATGTGACAAGTTATTCCATCTTACTCGTATGTTTTAATTTTGGTCGGTATCAGGCCAAGTGCATCAAGGCGGAGCTGAACGTTTTTCAGGATGAAGGTGTAGGGATTTCGGAATGACACGATGACCATCAGATCCTTGCCAACTCGAGGTATTCCATTCACCTGTCGATAATTATAATGACAGCTGTTAACTAACATTAAGCATCAAATGTATCGCACGTGTTCCTCAACAATTGGTTTTGAAGGACGTATACCTTGATTGTGAGTTCAGGAGGACGGAGAGTGATAACTCTCATTGCCGAAAGGGTCTGTCCGGTTTCCTCAATGCGCCCTTGCACTACAAAGAGCAAGTTGGCCTGTTCCACCAGGTAGGGCATGTAGTTCACAGCTTGAACATTGATCAGCACTTTTGAGGCTGTGAAATGATATTCAGAAATTACACTGTAATGTGTCCTAAAGTCAAGAAAAGTCACCTTTATTTCTATAGCGCTTTTTACAATGTAGATTGTTTCAAAGCAGCTTTACAGAGATAACAGGAAGATAATGCAAAAAAGTTTGTTTCAAGAGGAAAATAGCGTCACAGTCCATCTTAAATGGATCCTCCACCGTTTTTCATATTAAACTGTGTTATTCCCTTAACTAAGACGAGTTGTTGATACATACGTCTCTCGTCTCAGTGCGTTCACTCAATCGCGAGACACTTTGATCGCACTTAACTAGCCCAGTTTATTCAATATGAACCAAGCAGAGAAGCGACTAAACACCTCCACGTTTTCCCTATTTAAATACAGTTACGCGAGTAGTGTAACTCGACCTAGGACGGTGACACAAAATAAAACGTCACGCTTTTCTAAGCGTGGAAAATGGATAACTATATTGTATGGCGGAATACTAGTTTGTTTACGTGTTTGGTTACTTTTTCCGAATCGATTCGTTCATTTCGTTCGTTGAATGAACCAAATGACTCTGAAAAAAGAGCAAGTTTGAGCTTACAGTATAAAACTGAAACTTTGTTATTTATTTATTAAATGAGCGATTGTTTCGCTTGATAAGACCCTTATATAGTTTGCACTGAAACTGTCTTTTGGACTTTGAACCGTTTGGTTCCCATTGAAGTCCATTATATGGAGAAAATCCTGGAATGTTTTCATCAAAAACCTTAATTTCTTTTCGACTGAAGAAAGAAAGACATGGACATCTTGGATGACATGGGCGGGTGAGTAAATTATCAGCAAAAGTTTTTTTTTGGTTAATTTAATTACTTTAGTTACTTTATATATATAGCCACTTGTCATAATCGTGATGTCATCATCCATCTCAGTTCAGTTCTCATACAATGGGGTCAATACAGGCAGATCAATAATGTTGTTGAATATTAAATTAAATATCTCCAACTAAGCAAGCCAAGAGCCAATGGTGAAAAAGCCGACAGTTAAACCTGCAACAATCTTGAAAAATCAGACTCACTGTTCTGGGGATTCACAGTTGCAACTTTGTTTTCCAGCATAAAGTTTGCGCTGGTGATGCCCGTGTAAAACGCCACACTGCCAGAGATGGTGGCATTGATGGTGCAGGTCTGGCTGGTCTGGTTGTTAACGTTCATCGTCAGCATGAAGTTATCGCCAATTTTGATGGTTTCGGCCTTGAGATCGATGGTCACTCCTGCTTCAGTGCGTGGCAAGTAATCCCTGGTAGGAATGCCACGATTCTCTGCATTGTTCATGGTCTGCTTATCCCTCTCACTTCCTGGAGTCAGGAAGAAGGTTGAAAGTTTTCACTAGTGTAACCCATTGTCCAGGTGTTTTTAGACCAAAGGAAACTTACCTTCTGGATATTTATAGTTAGAAGTGACATCCTCATAGGAGTTAGCGTTCACCCTTTTAGTCACAAGGAGCTTTCCCACGTACGCGGTGTCCACGTGGAGGACATTTGTATTTCCATACTTATCAGATTTACGGTAAATCACATCACTGTTCAGCTGGAGACAGGGGAAAGAGTTTTTCCATTTTGTAAGCGCAATATGCAGCTGAGATTTTAAGATCTTAAAAACTAAAGAAGTGGTTTGTAAATCTAAAGGTAAAAACATCAAAGAGAACTGGCATGTTTCTTACCTCTGCAAAGACAAACCTTGCATCAAACGGATAGCTGAGCTCTCCCTCTTTGACGGCATTGACAGACGTCGGGCCACACCGATAAAGGCCTGAATAATGAGAGAAGAAAAACTACTGTGGTAGGACATAACATTATTACCATGACTACCATATTTCACCATGACATACATGATACATCATGTGTATATTAAGTGAAGTTATATTATTATCATTAAGATATATATTATTAAATTATTAAGTTAAAAATCATTGTCAAGAAAATTCATGGACAGTCTCTCGCGTACGGCAAGGGATGGCCACAGAATCACCAAGAGTCGGAAACGACTGAATAAGTGAATGCGAGAGAGCGGTCAGTGAAAGGAGGCTCGTATCTCTGGAAAATATTGTTTCTCCATTTAAGAAGGTAATCATGCGAGGGCTTGGAGTCAGAGGGGCGTAAGTGGCAATTTGGGCGAATATGAGTTCTTTAAATAAAAAAAAGGTCTTGATGAGCTCTATCCAATGGCCAAAAATACCTATCTGAGATCAAACTGTATTGAATAAAGCAACAAAAGGGCGTATTTGACTTATTTGACTTTTTGTGATTATTTGAATATGTTTTAGAACATATTCATTGTGTTAATATGCCATACATATTTTACTTAAATAGTCATTTCATGTAAGTATGCCTGTGGTTGCAATGTTTGTGGTTTAAGGTTAATAATACAGGTGATTGTAGCGTGGTCAAAATTTTGTTTTGAATCTCCTGTAAAGTTTGTTAAAAGCCACTTACACCCTTCTGGCTCCAAGTCCTCGAAATATATATATATATATATTGCTGATTAATTAGTCATTTATTCAGTTTTTCCATCCGTTTTACCACAATATATATATATATATATATATATATATATATATATATATATATAACATGAAAACCTGTATTAAAGAATCTGATGATATAATAATAATAAAAAAAAGTAGCTAGCTGGACAAAAAATTTGTTTTTTTTTAAGATTGATGAAGTTATTTGTTCAGGCATTCATATTTGTTCAGGCATTTTTCTTATAATAACTTGGTTAAAAGCGTTGAAATGTTGAATGGTAGTGTAACCCTAATGGATACACTCAGCATTCAAAAATTGTGCCTGTATTGCCTAACGTAAGAAGTAATGGGACCCTAATTTTCTAAACGATTGGAGTGCCATCGAACTGTATCAGTTAAGGTTAGAGGAAAGCCTGTGTGTGTCGGGGATCATACCATCACTGGTCTCCTGAGGGGTGCAGTCGATCACCTGCCAGCCAGAGAATCTGTCTGGAAGATCAGGCCTCTTCATGTACACCTCATTCCAGCAGTGGTAGTTCCTGTGAAATACAATGACATTAGCGTTTCCATTACCCGCTAAATTGTGCAAATTGTCAATTGCAGTCCAATGCAGTGCAGTGAATCTCGCTGATTAAATCTAACGAGCAAAATGTATAATTAATTCTAAAGTTAAGATCATTAGTAATGACTCAAATATTACCAAATCCTTCAAAAGTGAAAAACATGATAACTGCCTAGAAATGAAGTCATTGTAAACTTTTGAGGTTTTTGATTGTTTTTCTTTATGATGGATTTGGGTGCGCTTGAGTCATTACTAGTGGGTTACCATGATCTTCACTTTAAAATTAATTATACATTTTGCATTAGTCACATTAATTATGAACCTGTATACAGTAGTTCTTAGTAGTACTCTGAGAGGTATGAAAAAAATAGTAGTTATTAATTAGCTAATAGTGAACTACCTCATTTAACTGAGCGCTATTACTTACTAGTTCACTAATCAGAGTTTCTTGTTAGTTAAAATAGCAGTAACTAGAATGTTAATTGTGCATTACTCACAATTAGTTACTGTATATATTAATGATGGAACAATATTCTACATTTACATTTATTCATTTAGCTGACACGTTTATCCAAAGCGACTTATAATTGCTATATATGTCAGAGGTCGCACGCCTCTGGAGCAACTAGGGGTTAAGTCTCTTTCTCAGGGACACATTGGTGTCTGGCATTGGATTTGAACCCGGGTCTCTCACACCAAAGGCATGTGTCTTATCCACTGCGCCATCACCACCACTAAAGTGTTACCTCATTACCAATAAGATTCTGTGTAACGGACGTACGCCAATAAGAGCTGTGCTTGTAAACTTCACTCCCCTGATCTCAAGCAGTGAGAGTGGCTATAGTCTGTAGCATCCTTGTAAGCGCGCATGCTTCCCACGCCAGAGACCCGGGTTCAAATCCCGCTTCGAAGCAGATCGATTAGGACCTGTTACTTGTGTATCTCACCAGACTGAATCTTTTGTTCGGCTTCGGTCCACTCTCCCGTCTTCGTCCAGCACAATGTCTGTCTTCAGGTTGCCCGTGTTGTCGTGAGCAGAGCAGTAATTGGTTATGACCCGTGTAGGGATCCCGAGACAGCGCATAACTATTTGGGACCATCACAGTGTAATGGTTACACCACAGTGTTTTTCGTAAAGGTCTCAGAGCCAACACAAAGAATGCTCTGTGGCCATACTCACAAGTGTTCAGCACGCCGGCAAACACCCAACACTGAGCGAAGCACACAGGAACACCACCTCCTCTAGCATATTTGAGCAGGATTTCAGTACTTCCAGTCCAGGCAGTGGGTGCTGTGCCGATGGAGTAATCCTCACTCCAGTTGCCAACCAGGACACCATCATCGTCCTGGGAGTTCATCTGGAAATATACCACCAAAAAGCCTAAATATACGCGCCATGTGCATTCATGTAAGACCAGCTGTTTAGGAAGTATGTCAGAAAACGAGGGTATATCACACCAGAGCTGATCCTCGCCGAACTATTTGAGTGGCATTTCCACGGTATGTTAGTGGTACTTTTCCAACATCCAGAACCAAAAGACAGGCATCCAGAACCCCCTGTTCAAACTACAGGAAAACACATAAAATGTTCAATAAAGGTGTCAGTTTGAACAGTCTGTGAAGAAACTCCAGAAAACTGACAACCTGTCCGTAGTTCCATGAACGGGAGTTAATGTTGTTGAATTCTCCGTTGAAGATGATCCCCACATCATTCATCACGTACTCCTGTCTGTCGCTCTCTCTGGGAATGTACACCTGATCCGCTGAGATGCAACATATACAAGATACATGCATTATAATCATCATCAAATGATGTCGCCATCTAAATCAGAGTGCAGCAAGAGTTCTGGTGTACTTGTACTCACCGGGGTCCCAAGGATTGAACAGCACATAGACATCGGTGTCAGTGTTCCTCACAGTGCGCTGTTTTCCCAAATCACTCACAACTACAACAAAGGTTTGGAACCGGCCAACGATGCAGCTGGCGTCTGGTGTTACGCCAACGGTCACGTAATTCCCTTGTATGTCCAACACACGACTACTCCAGGGCCCGTCAGATTTCTCTCTACCGATGGACAAAATGATGTAGGTGCCCCTGCTTACATCAGGTGTACTGCCTGTGAGGACAGATACATTCACAAAAGTCAATCCATCGGGAGTTATTCTCTACATCAGTGTCACTGTTTCTGAACTCCCTGAAATGCCTCCATTGTAGTTTTCTGGGACTACAATGGAGGTGTCCAAAACAACACTGGATCCTACTGACTTTGATTGTATGAAGAAAAAAAAAAAGCAATAATAACTATGTTTGGCCAGTCAGAGTTAAAATCTAGCTTGGGGAAAAAAACACACAAAAAAACAAAACAATGGTGCTCTCATTAACAAGGACCCAAATCTCACAAGGACGTCTTCCCACAGGACAGAAACTGAGCCGGCAATAATGAACTAACACAGTCTCATCCCAAGAAGTCATATAACTGACGTCTTGGGACGTCTTTTGACCATACATCAATATCCGCCTTTTTAGGGTCCCCTTAAACGTCAGTTGATGACGATCCTGGGACGTCATACAACTGACGCTTTACCTTTAACGTCAGTTAGGTTTAGGGGTAGATTTAGGTCTGGGTTAGAGTTAGGATCCGATAACGTCATCAACCGACGTATGGTCAAAAGACGTCCCAAAACGTCAGTTATATGACGTCTTGGGATGAGACTGCGCTGAATGAACGCAACGCTGACATTGAGACTGAATCAAATGATGCGGCGACAGCCAAGGGAGCATCGCTTCGATCATTCAGCTCGACTTGCATCTGGTTGATGTACGTGTGCAAGTCTCTAATGAAGATAGGCAGATGTTTTCTCAGGTATCATTGTTTGTCTGAGAGTTACGCCCAGTCCATTAATGGCTCTGTCCTCTGTAAGAAAATGTTCCTCTCAAGCATTAAAAACGTCACAGATCTGATTCCATTTCAGCACGTCTGTTTCTGGTTCACACATTCTAGCCAAGTCATTCAGGCTGATCCATTTCTTGTCATTATTTCCCTCCTCCTCTGCTGGGTGGGCACATTCACAGCTTTTGTCAGGTTCAATATTAAGTAGACATGATACGGGTCACCTCCAAGCGGCAACATTCTGATCTGAAAGATGAAGCCTACCCGGAAGTGCGATAAACTGCAATACATCTCAAATCCGCTAGAGGGCGGTCCCAAAAGGGAGCAAATATCCATAGACGTCATGTTATAATGTCCGTTTTCACAGCATAAATTCATTTGTTTACAGTTTGGTCCCATGGACTTTTATTGTAATCTTCATTATGTTCTGCGTGCCTGACAACTGTGAGGGGGTGAATTTTTTTTTTTCGAACTCGTTAGTTTAGATCATATTTAGATATAAAACGTATGACAAATAAGGGCGGTTAACTTTGATTGACAGCTGATAACGGGAGCTGCGCCGAGTGAATTTGACGTCTCGGCCATGATCTGACACAACACATCATACCACCTCTGTATCCTTTCTGAAACTTTTGTATTTTGTATTTTCCAAGATTTTCCAGTATGGCGCTGCCCATACCCCCCATAAACAGCTTCAAACCCGTTCTTCAGAGAGTCTATTGGTGACGTCACATACGCTTTGCCCATATTTTTTACAGTCTATGGTCACCACGCTCTCTTTTCTTAAAGGGATAGTCCACACTAAAATGAAAATTAGCGTCATTGACTTAAGGCGCTTTTCCATTACCAGACTCGGATCGCTTTTCGCTCCGTTTTCCATTGCAGACAGTACCGCCACAAATAGTACCTGGACGCAGACTGATCTCATGAAGTAGCGTGTGTATGCCACGCCAATTCGTATTTCCATTTTTGGCGTGCTATCAAGACGCATAATCGCCTTTCAGCGTGTTTATGAACGCCGTTGACTTAACGTTATTACTGTATATATAAATATATGACTTACCTCAACCCCGTCCCTAAACCTAACCGTCACTGGGGTTAATGGCTTTTATGACTGTTCCCTTACCATCCTAGGTAAAAAAAAGATATGACTTACCTTAACCCCATCCCTAAACTTAACCGTCACTGAGGTTAATGGCATTTATGACTGGAGATTTGACTGCGTGTACAGACACGCGGAATGACGCGGACGTTAATGGCGTAGACATATACGCATACACGCGGATAGCTCAAAATGCGTAGAGATAACACGCCACCTGACTCGAAAGTGGCCTGTATGTTTACGCAAAAGTCATGATGTCATGTTGCTGGACGTCATAGCGACGCCTTTCGTTCCTCGTTGCCCTATCTCGCTGGATCCTCTCTTCGGTAACCAAACAAAGGGAAGTCTGCACCTCCTCTTTTGACCACGGCGTATTTTTCCGAGTTGCCATAATAATCGTAGTAAGTTTAGTAACTATCTCTGGCCAAACTATCTAAAACTGGCGGGGTTATTCTGGATACTCCATCTGGCACATGCAATGATGAGGCAGTGAATGGTGACGATTCTCTCTGACCAATCGGCAGTCTGCATTGTTTTCACGTCACATTTTAGAATCACCTTTGCTCGCTTAGAACCTCGCCGGAGGTGATACAGAAAAAAGTACCCGAAAGCAGGTACAGGTACAACTTTTACACCGTGGAAAACCAAACAAAGGCGAGCCGAGTCGAGATTTGAGTTTGACTCGAGCTGGTACTGTGTAGTGGAAAAGCGCCATTAGTGTAGTTCAAAACCGACGTGACTTTCTTTTGTGAAACGTAAAAGAAGATGTTTTGAGAAAATTCTCAAATTTCAAAGCAAAGGTCAATGGTCACCAAAATTCAATTGGTTACCAACATTCTTCAAAATATCAAAAGAGTTTTGGGTGAACTATCCCTTCTAGAGGCACTCTCTGCTGTCCTTTTATCCTAGTATTAAAGTAGAGAAAATAACATTTTTGCTTAAGAAGCACATTGTACAAATTAATGCGAAATAGTTTTTTGAGGGTTGGAAATGATTTTGTTTAAAAGATCTGCTCACCAATCAGGAACTCCAGCAGCACATTGTCCCACTGGATATTGAAGGGTTGGCTAAACCTGATGGTGATGATGAATTCTTGATGCCTGCGCACAATGAGGTTGTTGTTCTTGTAACTGCTGGTGTTGTGAGCTCTCTTGTTCTCTACTACACGCATATCAATATCCAATACTGAGAGAGCATTTGCTGCTGTAAAAAAGGCAAAAGAAAAAAATTGTACATGATCCTTTGAATACCAACATTCTCACAGCTTTGAACAGATTCTGAGCTAATAGTTTCAGAAAAAAAATCTATATAAAATGGTCTGATATTTAAAGGCATCCTTTCTCTAATCGTATTGGTTACTGACAATAGATCTACCCAGCTAACAAAAATATAGTGTGAGATGGCTAACGTTATGAAAACTTTTTTTAGTGAATACGTTCAGTTTATTAAACGGTCTTGGTTAAGCACATGTTAAGGAAACATTACATTTTATCACTGAAAATGTTACTTTCGATTGTTCTCTAACAGTTGGTAACACTTTACAATAAGGTTTATTAGTTAACATTAGTTAAAAGAGTAGTTCACTTTTTTTTTCTTTTTTTTTCTTTTTTTTTTTTTAAACTTCTTTTAATGGACTCTGTTATGGTACCAAACGTCTCAAGGTCCAAATGAGAGTTTCAGTGCAGCTTCAAAGGGCTTTAAACGACACCAGACGATGAATAAGGGTCTTATCTAGCCAAACGATCGCTCATTTCAAAAATACATACAAAGTTTTAGTTTTATAAGTTCTGTGATGCGCGTTCGTGACTCTCCTGTTCGAACTCGTTTATCAAAATGAACGAATCTTTTTAAAGCCATTTGAACAGTTTGCGGTTTGTACAGAAAGTGTCTTTTGGACCTTGAACCGTTTGGTTCCCATTGAAGTCCATTATTATGGAGAAAAATGCAGGAATATTTTCATCAAAAACCTTAATTTCTTTTCGACTGAAGAAAAAAGTTTTTATTTAAAAGTGACCTACTCCTTTAAATGTGTTGGCATCTGAACGCTTGATTCACACAGCAAAAATCTCAATGGAATATGAATGAATAAGAAAACAAATAAGACTTTACTGGGTGCTCTTGGTGTCACAAGCGTGGTGTCAAACGCTTCGAACGTCGGTGGTTGATACTCATCTAAGTTTGACTTGGCAAAGCGAACACGGCCCCTGCCGGAGGACCGAGTGACGGAATTCATGATGTCTTGATGTTTGCCTGGAGGACAGATCATGTTAATGTTAGATTTTAAAATACAGAGAATTTTGAAGTATACAGCTATTTTGTGAGTCTGAGATACATCTGTGATTAGATGCTGAGGAAAGGACAGATAGTCGGTGTGTTTATGCGCCTACTGTACATGTGTGTCGAATGATCAAGACTTTATCTATTTCTTTCTGTCTACCCCTGTGGGAAGATACTGATGCAATATGGTGTTAGACTATTTTAGGAAACTCTCAGGGAAACTGTGAGAATCATAAAGCACTGATGAAATATCATTCTCAACTCAGCAATGTGGTAGCAGCAGCAAGGGCTGTCATACACTCGTCACAACATCTCTCTGAAACATTACCTACCACTCAAAAGTTGGAGGTCGGTGCAATTTCTTAAAAATGTAAAGCTTTTGAAAGCTCACCAGTGTGGCATTTATTAGATCCAAAATACAGTAAAAATAGTAGCATTGTCAAACATTAAAATAACTGTTTTCTATGTGAATGTAGTAAAGTGTAATTTAATCCTGTGATCAAATCTGAATTTTCAGCATCATTACTCCGGTCTTCAGTCACATGATCCTTCAAAATCAAGATACAAATCTGATTATTATCAATGTTGAAAACATTGCTGCTTCCTTTTTATTTCACGATACTTTGTTAAATAGAAAGATGAAAAGGGCAGTAGTTAACTTTTGAAACAATGCAAGTTACTTTTTTCAAGTAACTATAATCCATAACTTTAAAAATGACAACAAAACATAAATGTTTCAAATAAATATTGCAAGTAACTTTATTTTCCCTGTCCCTGTGTTGAGATAAACCGTGAGTAAGTGCAGAGGCGTTGTGTCATTCACTCTTTTCACAGATTCAGTATCCCTCAAAATGAATGAAATCAGTGATATGATATCTTTTTGTGCAAACCTGCAATAGTTAAAAATGTTAAATTTCACAACTATACTTTATGTATTTAATCTCACTTTATTAATCAATGTCCTTGTGGCTGACCTTCAAGAATATAATTCAACCATATTCATAAGCGAAATTTACAGAAGCGTTATTGCATTCACTTGAAGAAAAAAAATCGACTCTGTTAATGAGTTAATTATCTCAGAATTACGAGATAATTTTTCATGGAAAACATTTTTTGCTCTGTTTTTCTGAATTAATGCCTTGATTATCTCAAAAACTCAGAAATTCAGAAAAACAGAGCAAAAACTTTTTTTTTCCATGAGAAATTATTTTGTTATTCTGAGATAATAAACTCGTTAATTCAGGAAAAACAGAGCAAAAACGTTTTTCCATGAAAAATTATCTTGTATTTCTGAGATAATTAACTCGTTAATTTAGAAAAACAGAGCAAAATAGTTTTTTCCATGGAAAATTATTTTTCTAAGATTTAAGATTTATTTTTCTTTTCTTGAAAACAAACAAAAAAAAGCCCAGCCCAACTCAGAAAAAGTGAAACATTACTTTTCAATGAACGTAAGTAACACAATATTACTTTTTTTATGGAGTAATGCAACATTTTAATGCATTACATTAAAAAAATTACTTTCCCCAGCACTGGTAACATTTTTTTCTTAATAGCAATTACTTTTGTTCAAGTCTCAAATCCCAAGGTATGTGTATCTAAAGTGGGAACAATGAGGGGAAAAAAGTCTACACAAGCTCAATAACTGAAGTAAAATAATCTTGGATGAACATTATGAAGTGTCCATTTTAATATGCATATGTGCTACATAAAACCCTGGTACGATAACACTGACTAGACACAAATCAAGATTCCCATCAGGAATCTGGAAAAACAACTAAACATTTCTTTGTAACAGAATTTATACAATGAAATGTTTAGATCAGAATGCTTGTTTCAAATGTGCACTTGAATTTGGTAATGCCAGAGAAATATGCAGAAATTAAGGAGTTAAAAACTTAAGGAAAGTTATTCCTTGCTGAAAGCTGAAGTCATTAAAAGCGTTGAACTTACGGTGTGTGTTGAAGAGTAGATGTTCTTCTGAGGTGAGGAGGCTCCAGGCTGATGTGCTCATGAAGAGCTTCATGCTGATTAATAAAGGCTCAGGACTTCCTCTTCCACTGGAGAAAAACACATCCATGGAACCGGAGCGTCCGAAGTTAAGATGACCCCAAGATCAGGTCAGTCCGACATACAACTTTGTGACCCTGCTTCTGATTCTTGATGACAGCAGCATATTCCAGACTGTCAATAACATGTAGATGACAAACATTCAGACATTAAAGTGCTCAAAATAAAATAGAATTACCAATAAATCATAGTAGTAATCACTGAAAATATGAAGCATATAACGATACTAGTTTAAAGATTAATGTACCATAACGGTTATTCATTCTTTTTTGTTAAAGAAATCCATATTTCTATTTTATATGTCACAAGAATTAATGGCCAATTCTTCATCAAATTTGACTGGTTGAGGTATTATGCTATTTCCCATTGTCCCTTATTTTATAAGGTTTACCATTGGCGGCCTGAAACTAAAATAAATAAATAGCGCTAACTAACACGAACTAACAATGAGAAATATATTTTTACTATTAACCTTGATGTTAGTTAGTGTGCATGCTATTTCACAGTGCACATCTACCTTAGATCTTAAATATGTATGTGTTAATGTTGAGATAAACACAGAATAATAAATCATACTTTACAATAAGGTTAATTAGTTAACTACCTTAGTTAATAATGAACTGCAATTCTTACATTTATTAATCTTAGTTAATATTAACTTCAACATTTACTAATACATTATTAAAATCAAAGGTTATTTGTCAACATTAGTTCATGTAATGTAAACTAATAGGAACAAATATTAATCAATACCGTAACAAATGTATCTTCTTGTAAAGTGTTATGAAGTATTGTTAAAGTGTTGAAGCATTGCTCATAGTCTGTGTTAAATAATGTAGTTAACTTACATTAACAAATTGTTAAAGTGTTACCAAAACAAACATCATAAACTTCCCAAATACTATTTTAACAACTATAATTCTTATGTTTAACTTTTAACTTTATTGTCCCCAATGGGGAAATCCACAGCACTGCACATGTTTAAAACACACTATATAACCAATATAACACAAAAAGACATAATACAGAAAAAATAAAAAAGATTTTAAAAAAACCCAGTTAAATAGGCTACACTGATTGAGGGAGTAAGGCATCTTCTACGAAAGAGCTCCTGAACTACAGAGCGCTGTTCCCGTTCCCCTATACCCCTGTGCCCACGTACCCCCATTCCCCTGTGCCCCTGTTCCCCTTTGCACCTGTGCCTCTGTACCCCTGTTGCCCTGTGCCCCTGTTCCCCTGTTGCCCTGTTCCCCTTTACCTCTGAGTTCCACTTCTTTTCTGAATGTCCATAATGTTTTGATCAAAGGTAAGTGTGTTGTTACTCCAAAATATTTCAAATTGTCCACTATTCCAACTGTTTGATCATGAATAACAATAGGATGCTGGGGTGAAGGGGGGCGGACTATCAGTTCTTTTGTCTGGCTAATATTAAGATTCAGGTGGTTATCCTCACACCACTGGGCAAAGTTCATGACAGTGATGTGATAATCCATAACAGAGTTGATATCTTTGAGCAGGGCAAGCATGGCTGTGTCATCTGAATATTTTAAATATTTTATGCTGGATAATGGACTGAGGTTGTCGTTTGTGCAAAGTGTATACAAAAAGTGGCTTAACACAGAGCCCTGGAGTGCTCCAGTATTGATGATGAGACCAGAAGATGTAATTGAGCCCATCCGCACTATTGCTAAGGAAATGTGCTATGTGTCAGGTTTTATGTTTTTGTTATTATGTTGAGGTTTTATGTTCTAGTCAGTAAATTATAGTCCAAAGTGATTAAATACACACACACACACACACTTTTATCATTTTCTGAACTCAGGGAAGTTGTCAACAAAATATGAGATTTGAAGGTTGATGATGATGTCTTTGCTGGGTAGTGATAGAATAAAAACAGCAATTTTACAGTAAAAAAAACAATACAAAATAATACAAAAATGACCACCTAATTGCAAAAATATGTCTTGTCCTTATCGGGAAGTTTCTCTGAGGGCATGTCAAAAAAGCATTGTTTGAAAAAACAGGGAAATGAAACTTGTGACATGATCTGAGATGTTTGACCTGAATGAGAAGTTAAGATGGCTTGTTCCATGTTTTTGCTTTTAGTTTAAAAACAATCTGGTTCCAAATAAACCTAAAGAAACATTTGTTGGAAATGGCATTGCTCAGAGGCCTGCATCACAAAACAGGTTTACAGAATTAAAGGAAACCAATGTAAAGAACAGTAAATAAAGTTTTATTTTTAAAAAAATCCTAATTATTATACAGAAATCATATGCATGTGTATATATTTGGTTAGTCGGGTCGAGATACAACACATCTTGAATAAAACACTTCCACCAAATCCACATTTTCACCAAAGATGGACCATTAACCTACAACTATACCCACTAATCATTAAGTTTGGATCCAGCTACTTGTTTTATAATTAACAGAATGTATTTAATAACAGGAATGTTAAATCACAAATATATTTGTTGTCCTTAAAAGCATATTCTGCGTTAAAAAAATGACAATGCGTTCATGAAGTTTTATCTTTTACTCCTTGCCAACAAACAGTAAAGGCCCATGGTTCCAGAGCCATATCGTATTTTACTAATTCACAATTACTGTACATCTCATTATTATGACATTTTATGACTTTTAATGTCTTAATTATGACTTATTTTGTCCTAATTTAATAATTCGGGTCTTCTTAAAAAGCTAAAAAACTAAAAGCAAAAAACTCTGCAGATAACAGAGTGCACCAGTCTGTTTCTGTCTCTGCACTACACTTCCCAGCATCCCTCAGGTTTACACATCTGCCTGTCATCATCGTTGTCACCTGTCTTGTTAATCATCATTACCTGTCATGTTTCACCTGTCTTCACTAATCAATGTTCATCAGTCTCTGTATT